TCAAGTTATATCTTAAAAATACAAAGGGTTAAGGCTTCATCTTTTAATTAACGTTTCGACTTCATATAAATTGCACTTTCTTCTACGAGACTGACTATTTCGATCAAAATGTATGAACAAGTCATTAACCCTTTGAAAATACAATAAATAAAAACCTTTTCATTTTAGGAAAGTTTGACCACATCCGCATGGGTGTGTTTCATCTACCATAAAAATGAGCTCATTCATGAGTTAAAATGGTTGTGCAGGCTGATAGATGAACAATTAGAATATGATTGCGTTTTATCATCTGTGAAAGATGTTAGTGAAGGTGTTTTGGTATAGACTATTTTCAATGATTCTGTTTGGGATCTAAATAAAAAAATAAACTTTCTATAAATATGTTCCAAAGGGCCTTGGCGGAAATGTTGGTAATCATGCTGTATTGTTGTTTTAACGGAATGAATTACCTGCCATAACGCACGTATACAACTGGTTTGAAAGTTACAATATCTTGAAATAACTCGCTCAGAGTCCAGATCTAAGCCTCAAAAGAACATCTAAATAGGGTGATTCAAAGGATTGGATCAGAGCTTTCCAATTGTTATAAACTGGTCAAACTTTTTAATAACAACAATAAAAACAAATTGCATCACTCTCTTCAAGCCTCGATGAGAGCATGCCTTGTGGAACAACAGTAGGTTAGCAGGTCAAGGGCAATGCAGCAGATTATCAATAACGTGATCATGGACCCCTCCCTCTTAATTACACGCCACATGCCTGGATGAATATAACCAATATAGTATGTCTGTAATGTCAATGATAACTGGAAGTTCTGATGTTTTAACCTTTGTTTATAATTAATAACTCATCAACACTTGAATAGCAAATCACTTTAATAACTCACCAATTACAGAATACAACAAAAATAATGCCATTTATATCAATAGTTTTTTTTCTGTTGGTTTGTTTTCAAGCACAAGGATACTCAATGAGCTGTACCCACTGCTAGGAAGAGCTATGCTGATAGGAGTATTTAGTAAAATAATTTTAAATACTTGAACGACAACTTGAGCTATCACTTACACTTATAACAAGTTTCAAATAAACTATCATTAAAACTTTGGTGAGAGTTTACACTTATCTCTCCTTAAAGCCAACTTTACATTTTTACCACCAAACTCACAATAACTCATTGTGAGGTCCTGTAAACATTCACAAGCCATCGTACGTTCATTGCAAAAATTTTATCATATGAATGATATACAACAAATTAATGGCCTTCTTATCACTCACTACAATATTTTATGGTACATAGTTACAAAACGTTCAATGACAAACGTTTATAATTTTATCTAAATTCAATTAAAAATGAGTATTTTTACTGCAGTAGATCATTTACGGGAAATGATTACTTAGTTACTTCCGAGAAGATTAGATAAAGTGTGAAAGGAATTTGTTATTATATATTTATTTTAACATCAAAATTGTTTAGCTTAAGTTTATATTTAAAAACATGCGTAGATATAGTGTTAAATATGTATTGCAAAACTCCCGCCTATTCTCCAAAGTTGTAGAAAATTCTCGAGAGTAAGAATCAACAATATATGTATATATGGAAACGTTTAAATATAACTCAGTATTGTTATGTAATCTGAATTTTCTAGAAAACCTTCCCACTCCCATAAATACAACCAACGCGACGCGCCAGGGAGTGTCTATTATTAGTTCGCTATAATCAGTGTGCTATAAATTTCACAAGCTTTAACTGTGATTTCTATAACGCTTATCAATCGGAAAAGTTAAGATATTTGACCAGGAATAGTTATAAATTTCGAACATTACAAATCGTTTAACTTCAATGGCTTCTCAACTGACATTAATATTTTTACGAAAACATTATCTGACTTTAACGGTGGAAAACTTAGTGTATGTGGCCAAGGGCAAAGCTAGCTAGCTTCCCTACGAATCGTACTTACATCAACTCGTAATTAACTCGCTTATCGTAAACCCTCGATAAGATATGAAGGGAGTTTCAAACTAGAAAGAAGATTTTATATTGTTTGTAAGTTTGTGAAAGAAATTGTATTGTTTGTGTATATTAAAACGTATTTGTGTTAAAAACGAAGACGGTGTGTATTAATCTTGTTGGCAAATATCGTAAATTGACTAATATATCGGCATATATTTAAATACTAAATCCAAAGTACAGTTTAACTACTAAATTTAAATTATCAATTAACTCGGCTTCGGACTATTCGAAATTCTAATACGTAACAAGTGTAATTAGGAAGATGAGTTTAACTAGATTAATTATTTCACTGCTTTTGAGTTAATTTTACAATATTATGCTACATTAAAATTTGATACACTAAATAAATACAGAAGAATAACAGTTTTTAATACATTAATTAGCGTTAAAAGCTTTGAGTATTTATTCAAATATATAAATAATTCCTCTTTCTTCAAGATTGGGAAAACATATTAAATCAAATAATTTATTACAGTTGAAAAAAAACCAGAAATAGTATTTATGATAAAACATATGTAATTTATTGTCACGTAAAATGAGAAAACATATTTTAATATGTCCCCCCAATGTAATTTATTGTCACGTAAAATGATAAAACATATTTTAATATGTCCCCCCAATGTAATTTATTATCACGTAAAATGAGAAAACATATTTTAATAT